CGCAGCCGCCCTCTACCCCGGATCCAGAAGTCCCCTCCCCGCCGGCTCCCGGACTCCCCGCCTTAAAGGCACAAGCTCCTTTTGTCTGGGCACCCCCTCCCCCTCCCCAGGAGCGGGGGGCAGAGTTGCCCATTCCCCTTCCGAGGAACCGGGTCGTCAAAATGGGGGAAGACCGAAGAATGGGACCCCTCCCTTCGCGCGCCCCTTCCTCTCCTCCGGCCTCTTCCTCCCCCAGTCTTGGGAAAACAAGCGGCTACTGTTCTGGGATCAAGACCCGGGAGGGGAGGGAGCTAAGCACTGCTCCCCCATCCCTTCACCCCGGAGCAGCATCCTCCGGCATTCCAGCCCACCCTCGGCCCAGGGGTCCGCGCGCCACAAACCCTCCCTCACTCTGCGAAAATGCCACACCCGCCCAACGAGGGTCGCCTTCCTTCCTGTTGGGGTCCCCAGGGGTGGAGCGGGAGCCCAGAGCCCACTCCTCACCCCTCCTTTCCACTCTGCCCCAGCCCCCACCCCGCCGTGCCCGCCCTCCCTGTGGCGGCCTCGCTCCCTCCCGCCGGAACTCAGTTTAATAATTAATTAAAATTTCATTCCACAAGGCGCCAGGTGTGTGCGGCCTGCTTGCCGACACACCACTTCTTTCCTCTCCCCGGCAGCCCTAGGGGGGCATCGTCCCCGTCGGGAACCTGCTGCGCCCAGGGCACAGCAGGGGGGTGTGGGAAGAGGCATTTTAGACGTCGCCCTCTGGCCTTACGCTCCCTGAGTGGCCCTTTCCCCACACCTTCTCGCACCTGCCAACTTGCAGAGAGTCCCTCCCCGGGCACCTTTTACCCAAAGGTTTGTGCTTCTCCGCTGGGGTGGGGGGCGGGGTGTGCATTGCTAGGTACAAGAGCCGAGAAATTGTTTGGGGCTTTTATTTATTTCCCGTTTGCAGCAGCTGCCCAAGTTACCTGGGAGATGCAAAAATTATGTGAAAGCTCCTTTAACTCTTTGAGGGTTAGAACGATGGTGGAACCAGAAAATAGAGGAGGGTTAATTCCAAGGCTGTGGGTGAGGCTGACTTAAGAGGCAGTACCATTCCTCCAGAGCTGGGAAGAAGGCAGCCTGCCAGGCTTCCCTACGAGCCCCTACCCCGCCGGCGTCCCAGCCCAGGGGGCCCCCAGTTCCCTCAGCCAGACCTGTAGCTCCTCCTTCCATTTTAGCCCCGCCAGCCCCTTCCCCACCCAATATCCCGCTGCTTACCCCAGTCCTCTTCCGGGCTGATACCCCAAGCTGCTGCTTCCTCAGACTCAGCCCTCCTTATACCTAATTTGTCCACTCCAAATCCTCACCAGGATTCCTAAGCCCAGAAGAGAGCTTGAAATAAGGAAGACAGGGGAAGAGTTAGGAAGTTTCCATCACTTATTAGCCATTTATCACTGCAAAGGATATACCTTGGATAAATAATACTTACTCTGTTGGAGCCTCAACTATAAAATGGGATAAAACCATCTACCCTTTCTCACAGGGTTTCAAGATCAGATAGCAAAATGTTGGTTATAATTTGAAAATGGGAAATGAAAATAAGAAAGTGGTAGTTTATTCTACCATATATGATTGGCAGTTGTGCAAGCCTGGCCTCTAATTTGACCTTTGGGGACTCTTTGCCTGATTTCTCCCTTCAAATAGGCAGTGTTCTTCCCACTATCAAAATTTCCTGGGCTGGGGCTGGGGCTCAGCGGCAGCACATTTGCCTGGCATGAGTGAAGCACTGGGTTCGATTCTGAGCACCGCATATAAATAAATAAAATAAAGGTCTATCAACAACTTAAATTTTTTCTTTTTTTTAAATTTCCTCTCAGCCGGCACAGTTCCATGAGCCTGTAATCCCAGTGGCTGTGGAAGCTGAGGCTGGAGAATCCAGAGTTCAAAGCCAGCCTCAGCAATAGGGAGGCACTAAGAAATTCAGTGAGACCCTGTCTCTAAATAAAATACAAAAATGGTCTGGGGATGAGGCTCTGTAGTGGAGTGCCCCTGAATTCAATCCCCAGTACCAAAAAAAAAAAAAAAAAATCCTCTCCAACTTGAATCAAATATCTACCATTTACTTCTTGTAATGTGTTTATGGGCTACAGAGGGAAATACAAGAAACAATTAAGGTAAAGAAATATAGGGGAGGAACTGGAGGTACAGTGCAAAGATACAGTGTTTTGCCTACCATGTGTTAGACCCTGGGCTCCATTCCCAGTACTGTCAAAAAAAAGGGGGGGTATAAAATGAAATTTTGTATTTTGGAATGGAAGATTTTGTCCTTTATTTTGGAATGAAAAAAATTGCACACCAATCAAAGAAGCTGGAAAAAATATTGTTCTGTGTCCTTCTCTGGGTAGATTAAGGATGCTTCTACCCTAGTGGACAGCAGGTAGGTTAGTCTGGACCCCTGCGTTCCATTTTCAGTTCCTGGAGGGCAGGGCCACTATCAGCACCTTTCCTGTATCCCAACCATCAAATCTGTTTCTAGGACTATAGATTGTTGGAACCTTTAAAATGATTCTAGTCCTTTAATCCATAGATAGGAAACACAAGCTAGTGCTAGGCATGTGGGAAATGCTTAATTATTGAATGTTTAAATTTGTAAACTAGCCAGTTGAAATAAGGAAGACAGGGGAAGACAGCTACTCAGGAGGCTAAGGCAGGAGGGTCACAAATTCCAGTGAAACCCTGTCTTAATTTTTTTAAAAAAGAGGATGTAACTCAGAAGTGCCCCTGAGTTCAATCTGTAGGGTATTTAAGCAGTAAGGAGTCTTAAAGATGATCTAATTCAGCTGCTATACTTTTAGTAGTTAGTAATTATAATAACAAACATTTGTATAACATTGACTATGTGCTGAGTATTCTTCTAGACCCTTAACATTAAATAACTCATGTAAGCCAGATGCAGTGGCCCAAGCCTATAACCCAGCAATTCAGGAGGCTATGGTAGGAAGATCCCAAATTCAAAGCCAGTTTGGGCAAACTTAGCAAGACCCTGCCTCAAAATTCATAAAATAAATAAATAATAATTAAGAAATAACCAATTTACTCTTCAAAACACTTCTGATGCTATTACCTTCTCCAGCTTGAAGATGATACAAATAATACATAGAGAGGTTCAACAATTTCTTCAAGATAAGATGGTAATAGATTCAGATTATGATCCCTTGCAATTTGGCAAAAGATTTGTAACCACTCTGTTATAGTGATTACAAAAAAAAAAAAAATCAACCCTTTGAGATGTGAGATGACTTACTCAGTCACACAGACAGTTGGTGACTTGAGTTGAACCATAACTTATATCCACTGGCCCAAATTCACTGCTCTTTTTATTCTGCTTTACCATAATTATGTCTGTGTATATCACAGACATGAATTGTGCCAATCCTTCCCTTTGTTTCCTTGGAAGCAAAGACATTCTTCTACTGGCTTTGTCCCCATTTGGCTATGGGGAATACTTTTAGGGGCAGTGGGCCCTTGATCTCTAGCTTCTGTGACCCAGAAAGTATGAAAACTACTGCCATTAGCAACTACAAAGTGCCAGAGAGTCCTCAGACCAGCAAGTTAGGGTCTGGGTCTTTTGCTGTCTGTCCTCTTCCATGATAGAGGGATTGCCAATTCTGAACATGTTTCACCCAAATCCTGTGTCTCTGAAACGCATTCAGGTTGTTAGAAAGGTTTGTAGGGGAATAGCTGGATAGGAAACATAGAATCTCTAAGGCGGCTTTTCAGCCTTACCCTGAGCCCTTCAAAAAAACAATAGCCTTAACAGAATATGATGAAATATTAATGTATTACAATAATTCAGTACATAATTTTGTGCTATGACAGATCTAATAAAGTCTAGAATAGCAGGCACCACAAGTTTTAAAAAATAATATGGAGACCTAAAATGGAGAAAATTATATCCGTTTTTTTCTTTGAACTGAAATAAGTTGGTTATTATTCAATTTCCCATGGCAGTCCCCTTTACCCAGCATGTGAAACCCCAACTCTGCTGAGCTGAGTTTGAAAATCGTTGCAGTAAGTAAAATATTCAGAAAGGACCTCCTTTTCCCAGGGTAAAGAATAAACAATAAATCAGGGATTCATTGAAAAGTTTTAACCTTGACAAAGAGAAAGAAAAATAGAGGCAGTCAGCTGAAACTGTCTTTATTTCTCCAAGACTAGCTTGGTCTCAATGGCCATTTTGGTTTTTTATAATACAGACCACAGTCATAGAGGGATGTATTCTCAACCTCTCATTTTCAGGAAGAGGAAATTCCTACTTGGAGCATGTATTATATGTAAATGCAAGTTCCATAAAGCTGTAAGTGTATCTGGACAGCACTCTATAAATACGCAGTACTGAAAACACCCTGTAATGTAACATGAATAGGCTTTAGTCCCCTGAGCATTCCATGGGTTGTTTGAATAACAGCTAAATTTTGACAATGCAAAAAACCATTCCCTAACTTTTCTGCTTCAAAGATCAGATTTCTGCACATTTTATTTTCAGAAAGTAAAAAAGAGGGCTGGGGATGTGGCTCAAGCGGTAGCGCGCTCGCCTGGCATGCGTGTGGCCAGGGTTCGATCCTCAGCACCACATACCAACAAAGATGTTGTGTCCCCGCCGAGAACTAAAAAATAAATATTAAAAATTCTCTCTCTCTCTCTCTCTCTCTCTCTCTCTCTCTCTCTCTCTCTCTCTCCTCTCTCACTCTCTCTTTAAAAAAAAAAAGAAAAGAAAGTAAAAAAGATTTGTAAGGGCTGAGGCTGTATATAGCTCAGAGGTAAAGTGCTTGCTTAACATGTGCTAGGCCCTGGGTTCGATCCCCAGCACTGCAAAAAGAGAAATATATAAGCCAGATGTGGTGATAATACCTATAAACCCAGCTACATGAGAGGCAGAGGCCGAAGGAACACAAGTGTAAGGTCACCCTGGGTAACTTAGTGAGACCTTGTCTCAAGATATAAAAAGGGATAGGGGGATGTAGCTCGGTGATTAAGTGTCCCTGTATCCTGGTACCACAAAGGAAAAAAAAATGTAAAATCAACCCATATTCATTTAAACCAGCAAATATACCCTGTCCATTTCATCACCCCTAACACAATTTCTGTCACTACTAGAACCACTCAGAGACTCTTAACTTCCTCTAGGGTCCAGAATTGGTATACTACTTGGCCAATCCTAGTCCCACAACCTACTCCCATGTCAACTCCAGAGGGATAACATCCCTTCCCCATCACCTTAGGTCCCCACCATATTCGTGCATTCGGCAAACACTTGAGTGTGTTCTATGACTTAGGCACAGTTTTATTAATAGATGCTGGGGATACAGGAATTAAACTCAGCAGACCCTGTTTTCCTGGAGTTTGTCTTCTAGAAACAAATGAATAGATCAGAAGACAGTTAATGATAATCAGTGCTATGGTGACCAATGAACCAGGGATAGATTGGAAGTGACTGGGGGAGAAACCTAGGTTGGGTTGTCAAGAGAGCTGAGGAAACGACATTTACATGGAGACCTGAATGACATGGAGGCAGCCATGCAAAGAATCTGGGTAAAGAGCATTCCAGGCTGAGGGAACAACTAATGCAAAAGCCCTGCAGCAATAACAAGCTCCCTGTGCTCAAGAAACAGAAAGTTAGTGAGGCTGAAAACGGTCGAAGATGAGGTCAGAGAGGGAGGCATGCCCTGGCTGGTGCAGAGACTCATAGGCCAGGGTAAGGAGTCTGGATCTCATTCAAAGTGTAATGAGAAGCCTTTGGAAGGTGTTAAGCTCGAAAGTGGCATGATCTGATTTATGGTTTTAAAAGATCATGCTGGCTGCTGGGTGGAGAATAAATGGCAGGATCAAGGGATGCAAGAGAAACCAC